AGAGAGAGAGAGAGAGCGAGGGAGGAGCGAGTAAGAGAGGAGGACAGTACGTCTTCAGAGCACGTTCCGCCTTGTTTCCCATGTCCCTATTCATTTCCACCCGACTTGCCTTCACCCACGTCTGCGCGAGCGCTCTTCGGGGCGAAGAAGCTCCAAAGAAACGCCGAGGCAGCGGCTACCACGTTGCGGCCTCGGTGCTTCCCCGACAGCCGGGATGCCCTGAAATGACCTGCTTAGCAGCTTCAATATAGGCTTAGCGTAGCTGTCGCAGCCTCGACATTACGGTCTGAAGAAACATTCAGCGCATTTCCTATACTGGTTTTGGCACTGCGACAGGTCCTCATGATTCCCTTGGCAGCAGGAATGCAGACTGTCAGTAAGACAGTGAGCTTCAGCGAATTGACAAAATCAACGCCAGCTGACAGTCTGTCACAGGACACAGCAGTTGCAATCCAACCACCTGACTTTCACCTGCAAATTCCTGCAAATCTCTGGAGGGCGCAGTGCTCTCATCGAGCCTTTCTAGCACGACGCCGGCGCACCAACGGGTCGATGGCATCGCTAGAGCCAGGACAAAGAAACTTAGACAAACAAACAGCAGCTGCCCTGGACTTACCAGAGTTGCAAGCAATGCTGGAGAGCGCGCCCGCACTCACCTTCTGGGGATCTTCGCAGCAAACCTTCTTGGATGCGCTGGCTCCCAGCCCGGAGGCTCAGCCGATGGGAAATGTGATCTGAAAGAAGAAGTTGCCTTGCAGTGGCGCTTCGTAGGTGCTTCGTAGGCATTGCGGGTGCATTCAGAAGGAGCGAGGCTACATCTCATGGTAGCAATAAAGAAGAACCAAGGCACAGAGGCCAAGCAGGAGGCGGACCATCCGAGGTCCGCCTCCTGGAGGGCGTGGTCGATATCCAACCACGAGGTCGAAACTCAGTTCAACTCCTGAGACTTTCGGCTTTGCAAGACTAGAGCCGAGGCGACAGTGGATCGAACTCGGATCGACCTTTGCTCCTATCAGCCGAGGCTCCCATGTCAAGACTGGCCCCGCCGCCTCGTCACAAAAGTCTCTTCATCATAGGTTTGACGTCTAAGACTCTAGGATATCGAAGGGCATTAGTGTTTAAATTTCGGGCCCAAGCGTTACGACGCACTTCGACAGGAACCTCCCGTACCGTGCTTTGTGGGACAAACGTCTCCTGCAGCCTCGAAATCGCAGGTGCCCTCGTCACTTTTGGCCAACCATGACAATGTCCACCCAGACCCCCTCCGTTTTCGCAGAGCATCCATGGGCCAACAATGGCAACGTCCACCCAGACTCCAAAGCATCCATTGGCAAGTTATGGTAACGTCCACCCACACCCCACCTGTTCTCGCAGAGCATCAGAGCATCCATGGGCCAGTCTGTTCAGAAGTCTTCTTTGTGGGGCTTTCGTCTTGCTTTTCGAGGGCTTATGCTAGGATGGTTTTTGAATGAAGAAAGCAACACAAAGGGGATTTCACTTCTGGCCAACACCGTCATACACTAGTTTCAGCTTCTCCCACAGCAATCAATCTTATAGCCTTATAGCGTGTGGATAGACGTCCGGGCGCAGCGGGGTTGAGTGTTCAGGGCCCTCGACACGTCAGGAAAACTGACTCTCCCAACACCCTTCTCACGAGGTTCATACAAGTCATGATACCTCAAATTCCGGACCTTCTAGTCTCTGCCTTTCCATAAAGTTGCATTGTGCAGACTCTGCACTCCATGAGAACACTGCGAAAACTGATTTCAATCACACTCCGCAGGTGTGGCCTGGGTCGGCAGTCATTTCAATCACCGAACTACTCCGAACTACGTGTCCTATCTTGCGATGATGATTGCTGACGCCATCTTGGGATAGAATATATGCATCCAGCTCCCGGGTCCACAACCGGTGCTAGCCATACTATGTAAGCGGCTCGGAAAGAATCGACGAGAATATGTGGGACCTGCAGTCCGGAGCCCAAGAATTCCGAGGAAAGCACTCAAAGGGTGCAGGAAGGTCCTCGCCTAGGTTGTGGAAGCCATCCGCATCTTTCCAGCCTGGGCAGACCTGACACAGTTGCAAGCTTCACCTTCAACAAGCTCTGAGCTACAATATCTCAGTCGTTCAGAAGACTATAGAAGACCAACCCCGAAAAAGAATCTCGACGTCATCAACCCTAAAGACACGAACCTGAAAAACTAAGATCTCAGAAACGATGGATCGACATTGCTCCACCCCCTGCAGGTGGCCACTAGCCGGGAAGGGATCACTGAAAGAGTTAGGGCAGTTAGGGGTGGCGGCTTAGGGCTCTGCTGCAGAATGCAGAGATGAACGAAAGAAGGTTGGGCACCTTGGCGCTGATGCCGATGCCGCTGCTGGCCTTCATCATCCTTCGGCTGAGTGGCGGAGTGAGTAGGGGGCAGAGTTCCATTCTTGACCTGTCTGGGCTTGCGGAAGTCTATGGCCTGAAGATGCTGGCTGAAAGTTGTTGCCATGCAGTGAACAGCAAACCACATGGCTTGGTCTTTGGCCGGGAAGGAAAAGGCTGCTGCCAAGCTTCACCTCCATGGCAGAAGAGCTGGAATGATCCTGCTCCGTGAGGCATCGGACTTGTGATTGGGCACTAAGGCTCTCCAAAGAGACGCATCATGTGTTTCTGGTACATATAACTACAGAACAAGAAGCATATGTCTACATGTGTGTCTACCCTGGCGGGGCCTTGAGAAGGTCCGACTTAGTGATGCCAGCAGACTCGGGGGCCTCCTCGTTGAGGAGTCTGACCACCTCAGGACTCGAAAACCTCTTCGAACCAACGGTTTAGGGTTTAGGGTTTCAGCAACAGAACTTTACCAGAAGCGAGCTTTGGCAGCCCTATCGGCATACGCTCCTGGTGACATCTTTCTGTTTCTGGCTTTTGGCACCACGGTCAACCTACAAAGCCACTCAACTCTGCATCACAACCAAGAGTCCTAACAGCGATCCTATGGATATGGTCCGTTGTCTTTGAGCGCTGCACACGAAAAAATCAAGCCCAGGTCACCTCTGCTGTCTCCTGGCCCGAGGGGCCGACCACCTGACATGCCAGGGATGTCGCGGTGCATTGGAATACCGTGCACAACAACAAACATGCACTAATGCACGCATGCAGACACACACGCACACACACAAACCGAGATAGTGTTGTCGGCACTCACGGATGGAACCTGTAAAGGGTTTTACACTAGAGGATGCTGTTGAATGCTGTGTCTTGTGTGTTGAGCCATCCGGTATGAAATAGATTGCTGCAACCGTCCACATGTACGCAGCTCAGACACTCAATGCAGAAGCTGCAAAGCTCACTCCGAAAGGTATCGTCACTGCGGCCACTGTAGAAACAACAGCTTTCTTTGGGGTACTTTGGGCTGGCCTTCTGTTGCAGGTACACAAGGGTGATCAGCCCTTGCTTCCCATCAGATTCCGTAGCTTTGTTAGGTACGGTCAGGAATCTGATGCCGCGCCCCCCTGCTGACGAAATGCAGAAAGTCAAGTAATAGGGTGTGAACCTCTTATCTCATGTACTAGAGAAGTGCACACACACACACACGAATTAAAATACATCCACACCATGAATGTACTTCAGGATTCGGAGGGTTGACCTCGGAGGTTGTGGTTCTCCTCCCCTCAGTGGGTTAGGTATGGGGTAGGTTCACCCTGGTGCTTGGCTTGAGGACTATTTCTTAACTGCATCACTGAAACATCTGCGTCCTCCCAAGTTGCAGGTGAACATGGGTGGCGCCAATCTTGATACTTTCTGCTTCAAATCAAAATAGTCTTGTAGGTTGGGGCTCTTGTGCTGTGTTGGCTTTTGACTTGCGAACTTACTTCTGGGACTCGGGTTGCACCAGAACCGCCACCACAACTGGGGAAGCTGCAGGATGCAGGACTTGCGGAGCATCATTCGTCATCTTTCACTGCAGCCTAAGCTCCCTTCACCTCACCCTGTCAGCGCCTTATCTGTGGTGTGGATTGCATCGTCGATAAGTGACTTCATGCTCGAAGAAATATCCGGCAAGTGGTGGGCATTGGTGCCTTGCAGAGGGAGACACTCGAAGAATGGGCCAAGAGAACATCTGGTCTTGAACATGGTGCAGAACAGAAGGTCGCAGACAGAGCTGACAAGGATACGTGCATCGTGCAACTGTGGGTTGTCTCAGCCAAGCATCGAAGGTTCTGCAGCATGTTCTTCCAGTTGCTGCCCTTCCCAAAAACCTGAAAGCTGGCGCTGGCAGAGGCAAACCTCGTCGGAGGCACAGCACCAAAACGGAAGCTAAACACTCCTCTGTAGCATCATCCTATTTTGAGCATCCGAGATTTCAGGATCTACACCTTCTGGGCTGGCATGGCGAAGGCGCATGTGCTCCCATGGCTGACACCTCTTGGGTGTATGTCAACAGCAATGTCTCGCGTATGTGAGGACTAGTGAGGACCTTGCCTCTCTGGCGCGAGGTGTAGTTCTGGTTCTCCAGCAAGCATAATTAGTAAAGTACCGGATAGAGGCATCAAGAATCAAGAAAACTCTTTCTGGAAATTGCAGCTGAGCTGCAGGGAGATCCCATCGCGCACGTCACCAACGCCAACTCTTGCGCCGCATCCAGCAACTTCCACTCCAATTTCAAACCTCCCGAGAATCCACCCTAAAGGATGGCCCAGGGCTTTACAGAAGGAGCGTCTGTGGTTTGATTACGAGGAACCCAGCCGAGACCAGCTCTCCAATGATTTCGGATGCGGCAAGCTTCACTCTCATCAACCGATCATTCATGGCTTTCTCTTTATGTCAAAGCATTCCGCCAGAAAAGGCCTAGAAGTTTATCCGTTCTGAACAATGCTCTGCACTTGCATGTCGTCAGTGCATGATTCTTCCGAAGTGCACCGAAGTTAGCCTCGTGTTGTGCAACTTACTGACATCCCTTTCTGGGGGGTAAGCGTGAGGACCAGGGACTATGAAATCCTTACTCTAAGGCACTCTAAGGCCCATTCCCATCATTTGGTCGGGAAGGCTTCGGGGCGACGGACAGCCCAGTGTCGCAGATGGTGAACGGGCCGAGCGAGATGCTCCTTGGCTGTGGTAACGCGGAAAGTCTGTCAAGTGGAGCGGATGCGGAACCAAATGAAGGCAAACAGGGTGGTGCTCAGCCCTAGCATAGCCGTACTCCATTGCACTTATGGCACGGTGAGCGATCGACTTCCGATGTGTACACTGGTTGCGATGATACGGTATGGTTCTGACTTCATCATTGATGGCAACAGCGTTGATCTGCACCAGAAGCCGCAACAGCAGTTTGTCTGCCTGCCTGCATCGTGGGTGCACGCCCCTCATGATATAGACTCGGGAAAGGGGCAACCGCTCCTTTTGTTTCAAGACCAGGCTCCAAGCTGGGTCCCACTCCTTTGCCACCCTGACAACCTCGTTGCAGGAGTTGACAGTCAAGTCATTGTCAGCCAGGTTGTTGTTGGTAGGTATCAGTTGAGTACTGTCCATGGCTGCTGGTACAAAAACCAAAAGTAGCAACGAAAGAACTAGAAACAGCAGTGGAAGTAGCAGCAGTAGTAG